TCCTTCTTTAATGATAATTAGCATGCTTTTGACGATCTCCTCCTCCAAAAGATCCACAAAACCTTTAAGACAAAGTTTGGCCTATGCAACTTTATTACCCGAACAGTTTTATTCTTTTGGACTACGTGAGCCTTCTGCATGCACATCTTAAGAAAGTGCCTAAGAAGGAAAAGACGGTGGCTCGTATGTTTATGGTAATTAATATATTTCATCTTGTTGTTGTACTTTTGCCTTGAAACCTTTATCGTCATCTTGTCACCGTGCAATGCAATCAAGGCTGGAATATAAGACTGCAAGGTTGTCTTTGGTTGGGCATAATACATCAAATGTTTATATGATGATCAAAGCCCAATAAGAGATAAAATAATTCATCAAATGATAACTAAATCTCTTCCTTTCTCTAATGATAATTAGTATGCTTTTGGCGGTCTCCTCCTCCAATGGATCCACAAAACCTTTAAGACAAAGTTTGGCCTATGCAACTTTATTACCCGTACAGTTTTATCCTTTTGGACTATGTGAGCCTTCTGCATGCACAGCTTAAGAAAGTGCCTAAGAAGAATAAGACGGTGGCTGGTATGTTTATGGTAATTAATATATTTCATCTTGTTGCTGTACTTTTGCCTTGAAACCTTTCTCTTGTCATCTTGTCACCGTGCAATGCAGTCAAGGCTCAACTCTGGAATATAAGACTGCAAGGTTGTCTTTGGTTGGGCATAATACATCAAATGTTTATATGATGTTCAAAGCCCAATAAGAGATAAAATAATTCATCAAATGATAATTAAATCTCTTCTTTTCTCTAATGATAATTAGCATGCTTTTGGCGGTCTCCTCCTCCAATGGATCCATAAAACCTTTAAGACAAAGTTTGGCTTGTGCAACTTTATTACTCGCACAGTTTTATCCTTTCGAACCATGTGAATCTTCTGCATGCACATCTTAAGAAAGTGTCGAAGAATAAAACGGTGGCTCATATGTTTGTGGTAATTAATATATTTCATCTTGTCACTCTACTTTTGCCTTATAACCTTTCTCTTGTCATCTTGTCACTCTGCAATGTAATGGAATATAAGACTGCAAGATTGTTTTTGGTTGGGCATAATACATCAAATGTTTATATGATGATCAAAGTCCAATAAGAGATAAAATAATTCATCAAATGATAACTAAATCTCATCCTTTCTCTAATGATAATTAGCATGCTTTTGACGGTCTCCTCCTCCAAAGGATCCACAAAACCTTTAAGACAAAGTTTGGCCTGTGCAACTTTATTACCCGCACAGTTTTATCCTTTTGGACTATGTGAGCCTTCTGCATGCACAGCTTAAGAAAGTGCCTAAGAAGAATAAGACGGTGGCTCGTATGTTTATAGTAATTAATATATTTCATCTTGTTGCTGTACTTTTGTTATCTTGTCACCGTGCAATGCAGTCAAGGCTCAACTCTGGAATATAAGACTGCAAGATTGTCTTTGGTTGGGCATAATACATCAAATGTTTATATGATGATCAAAGCCCAATAAGAGATAAAATAATTCATCAAATGATAACTAAATCTCTTTTTTTTCTCTAATGATAATTAGCATGCTTTTGGCGGTCTCCTCCTCCAATGGATCCACAAAACCTTTAAGACAAAGTTTGGCTTGTGCAACTTTATTACCCGCACAGTTTTATCCTTTCGGACCATGTGAACCTTCTACATGCACATCTTAAGAAAGTGCCTAAGAAGAATAAGACGGTGGCTAGTATGTTTATGGTAATTAATATATTTCATCTTGTCGCTGTACTTTTGACTTAAAACTTTTCTCATGTCATCTTGTCAAGGCTCAACTCTGAAATATAAGACTGCAAGTTGTCTTTGGTTGAGCATAATACATCAAAGCCCAATAAGAGATAAAATAATTCATCAAATGATAACTAAATCTCTTCCTTTCTCTAATGATAATTAGCTTGCTTTTGGCGGTCTCCTCCTCCAATAGATCCACAAAACTTTTAAGACAAGGTTTGGCCTGTGCAACGCAGTCCAGTATAATAATAAAGAAAACAAATTTATTGCCTTAGACCAACTCGGCCATCTCAACAATTGTTACCAATTATTATTTATATTTATTAATATATTATAAATGTTTTAACTTTATTACTATTGCAGTCTTCTGCACCACCAACTCGTCTCTCGAAGTCATGGCTGGCCGCAAACGACAGCGCGGAGTTGACGACAACCACAGTCACCTCCTTTTGATTCTTGTAGTGTTGCAGCTCGGTGACGAAATTTATATCACGATCCAAAGCTCTAATCTCATGACGTATACGTACCGACGTCACTTGATACGGCTGCAATACATCCGTTTCATATCACTGCTTGTTTCCGACAGATGGTGTTTTCCTACTCCGTGGGTCCGTATCTGCTACGTTTTCAACCCTATGGAAGTAGGGATGAGAAGACTGCCTCTCATAGGCAAAGAGCGGTCGGTGATAAACTCGACGAAACTACAACTTGAGAAGAGAAAAGGCAAGTTTGCCTGGATATGAGTAAATGAACGACACTTCGTCCTCTCGATGCCATCACAGCTTTTCTCACAGTAATACATTCTTCATGCATGGAACAGAAGACCAAGGATTGCAGTGAAGGTAGAATATTTCTGACAACGCTTTTATGGACTGATATTAAGTATAAGAATCCCAGCTCATCAATTTGCGTTTCAATCTGCCAAACGCAGAGATTCTTCAGGGACAAGTAAAATTAGTAGATATGAGGCATATTAACCAAGTAATTAAGAGACCGGGCATAATGATATAGTTGGGATGGAGGAGTAAGGAAATGATAAAAATAAATTATTACGATATAACATGCTTCTTATGAAAGTAACTTAATGAGAATATCTATAACTATTTTATCAATAATTCATTGTTATGACTCCACTTGCTATAAGATATCGGATGAAATGATGGTGTATCGCTATATATTTTGTTCTTCTATGAAATTTCGGATTCTTTATCATTGTAATTATGGTTTTATTATCACAAAATATTTTTGTTGTTAGTTTTTGTTCTTGATAAAAATCTTTCAGAAGTTTTCTAAGTAATCTTGCTTGATAAATTATTAATGTTGTAGCTAGATACTCTTCTTCCAATGTTAATAACACTTTCGTTATTTGCTTCTTTGAACTGCAAGATATAATTCCTGATCCAATATTACAAATGTTACATAAAGTACTATTTCTATCATCAAAAGCTCTTACTCAATCACTATCATTGAAACCAAATAATTTACATTTAAAACTATGAGAATACCAAATGTCATAATTTGTAATACTAGTAATATAACGTAAAATTATTTTAACAGCTTCAAAATGATATTTGCTTAGACTACACATAAACCTAGATACTATACAAATAGAGAAGATAATATCAAGTCGAGTATGAGTTAAATAATTCAAACCTCTAAACAAACTTTTATAGTATCTGGCATTTATCAAATATGTACAATCTTCATGTTTCAATTTTTCATTTAGTGTTGTTGTAGTTTTGTAATTAATTATGTTGAACTTTTTGAGTAGATATATTATATACTTTTTCTAAAATAAGAATTATCCTTACTTTATCTCTAACCCAAGAAAATAGTTTAGTATATCCAGATCTTATTACTATGTATATCCTTCATATGAATATCCTTGCTGTCATATGAATATCCTTCATATGACAAAATTTCTTATAATACTAACATTAAATTATACTCTTATTTTTTTATTATAATTTGATTGTTCTTGATCCTTATACCCATCAAAGTGTCCTCTTCTTCTTTCATTTCCTCTATCATGAAATCCTCCTGTGACATGTCCTTTTCCTATTGAATTTTTTTTCTCTTCTTTTGTACTAGAAGACTCCCCTATAGCCTGAAATTTTTTTTCTTCAGTTTTCTCAAGTGACTTGTTCAACCTTACTTCATACGCTTGCGAAAAACTTATTAATTAAAAAGGTAGATAAATATTTTGACTCCTCAATTACAATAACAATATGATCAAATTTTGGAGTTAAATTTTTGGAATAATAATATGATCATTAAGATGTTCCTCACAAAATTTTAATAATTTTAATCGCTCAAAAAAAAAAATACTGGTTCATTGTTTTTCATGAACAAAATTTTAAACTCACAATGAAGAGTCATGTTCGATTATCCTTAAACAAAAATTCCATTTCCATGAGAGAAAAGTCTATAAATATTTTTAATCTAATATTAATTTTGTAGAGGATAGGATATTCTGGGTGGTGTAATTTCTTAATGAATGTATGTAAAAAGATTCCTAATTTAGACTTATCTAGATAGATACTTTCATGAAAATAGAATTCTTTCTTATTTCGAAACTATGCAGAATATCTCTCATAAAGTAAAAGGTAAAAATATCTCCGAGTTGTGAGGATGATGATGATGATGATGATGATAACGTGATGAAAATTAAACAAAAATTCTATTTCCATGAGAGAAAAGAC